TGGGTAGGTCAACGTAGAATCCGATTGAGACATACTCTGACTCCTCTTCTCCTGGATTAACAACCGGGCGTCAGAGAAAGTCTTCTTTGACCCATCCGGCTGTATATGCCGGATGGCCTTTCGCTGCCCTGATTCAGGGAAGCGAATTTTTGAAAGGTCGATAAGGGGCCCATCCGCCTCCTTAGGCTTCGGGTGCGGAGTAAGCACCCGGTATTTAATTGTCTTCTTCCTGGAAGCCTTCTTGGCCGACTGACCTTTGCTGGAGCCAGCTGACTTCTTGATAATGTCTTTAATTTCCCCTTTGAAACTAGTCATGAGATTCATGAGTTCGTCTCTAGTGACGGGGGCAGCCCCCTCCGCCGCCTGGGGTTGTCCAGAGTGCTTGCCGTCTAGGTTGTTGGGGCAAGCTTTGTCTTGGCCCCGTTCCTTCTTTTCTTTGGAACGTGTGCGCCTAGAACGGAATGACCCGTCTGGGGCCATGTAGGTTTCGACATTGTAGTCGTCACCGCTTCCACTTTCATGGTCCGTATGGACCTCAGGGTCAGCCGTGGGCCGGCTGCCCTCTGCAGTTGGTACATTGTCAGATGTCATCTTAGTGGTACTCTCCCCACAGACGGCGCCAAATATTTTGGGATTTTTTGATGTGTCCTGCGAGAGAGTTACAACACCGGGAATGCACGCCTGACTTCTGTACCTGCAAAACCACGAAACTCCGGTTGGGTGGAGTTCCACCTTCGAAGATCAAGTTAGTATGATTCCGGATGAGATTACGTGCGGAAAGTAAACGGGTTTTTCTCTCAGATTCCGGGAGATTCCGCAATTAATATTGCTCGGGTTTGGTGTCGGTATTTATGAATCCCAATAAATGAGGATGATTCCTCTATTTATAGCAGATGAAGATCTGCTCCCCCATTGGGGGTACAATGCCACGTGGCATCCATTGGTTGGATGCCCATGGTGCTATAGGGAGGTGACATGTTTCGGGCCCTCATTGGGCCACGTGTCTAGGGTAATTTTTACCCTAAACAATCATCATAATCAAAATCATAAAAACATGATTAATAGCAAAATCCTAGGCATGATACTAAACAGATTAATAACAAACCCTAGCTTGTCACAACAATAAAGATCAAAGCTTTAACCCAAACATGATACTAGAAAGCATGACATTATGAATATTATTTAACACCCTAAACATGATACTAGGAATCAAAATAAACATCCTAACATGATACTAAGAATTAAGATAACATCCTAAGCATGATTTTTATATCAAATGAATAAATAAGTAATCGAATTACTTACTTTGATGCCTCGTATCTCTTTCTATCAAAGCAATACACATGTTAGTAACTTCAAGAAAGATTAAATCAAACAAACCAAATAAATCAAATAAGAATTGAGATATAGATTTGGGACCAAACCCTTAGAACTATCAACCTTTCACGTCGAGGTCGAAGGCAACTTCGAGATTGGCTTGGAGTATTCGAAGCTCGTGAAGGAAGTATGGTGTATGATATCAAGAAGGTGTTGGGATGTGTTTAGGCTAAGACTAGGAAATCAAGAAAGAAGAGAGAGAGAAAAGCTTAAGCTTAGAGAGGGGAAAGAGATGATGATTGTTGGTGAATGAAAATGGGGTGATACGACCTCTATTTATAAGGAAAAACGAGGGTCGAAGTTCAGAAAAAGAGTTAGAATCCGACTCGGAGTAAGGCTTTATTGTGGCGCGACAGGCTTATCGCGGCCCGACAGGCTTATCGCGACGCGATGGTTCTAAGCTCAGCGATGATTTTTGGAAGATAGAATCCGTACGGAATCTGACTTCCAATCAAATTGGGTTAATCGAATTTCCATACGTATTCTAATTTTATCAGAATTAAAATCATTGAAAAACAAGTGTTTTATCCGATGTAAAATTGTTAAGTCTTTATCTTTTCAAAAACTGGATAAATTAGAACATTCTAGAAGCTAATAATAAATTCTAATGGATCTTCTAGAAGATAATAATAAATTCTAATGGATTTAGAAATGAGGTTATGGTTAATGGACCTCCACATGATCATTGGGTCGCAGGTAATGCTCGGTTTGGGCTCGGTTTAGTATTTTGGCCATAACTTCTTCGTTAAAACTCAGATTTGGCCTTATAATATATCGTTGGAAAGCTCCTTTCAAGCCCCATCCAAATAAATAATAATTGGACCAGGATTATGAACCAAAATATACTGGTTTGGATGTTTTTATAAAAAGGACACGAAATGAATTTTTAAAGACACGAAATGAATGATTTTGGGTTTAAGGGCACGAAATAAATGATTTTGGATTATAACTCTTTAGAAAAGGTTAGGAATGGTCAAGGCTAAAGGAAAATTCACAAGACACTTCAACTCTTCACCTAACTCGATAATCAAAGACGTAAAAGGTACTCATCACTAGGTTTGGTTTTTGGGGGAGACATAATCGGGTGTCTACAGGTACATAAATGTACATCTTTTGTAGTGATATATCAAGTGAATTTATAGGTTTCGTCAGATCAATAATAATTGTATATTAATACATATAAAGTATAATAAACTGAATACTATTATTAAGCGTATAATAAGATTTTAAAACGGGACATGTAATTTACTTATTTATAATTAATAATGACATACTATACATTACAATATAACATTAATTAATATCCCAAATCAACAATACTTTAAAAATTGCCAAACTAAAAACTAGACCTTAGTACATAAAACAGATACATAAAAAAGAAATTATTAGAAATCAAGCAAAATTAAAATTAAACTATAATCAACCACACACTAATACATCAAGTTGAGGGGAGCAACATTTTCAACAAATTGCTCCTTAGTTCTTGATCTTCCGAAGATAAGTTTGGCTTTGAATCGAGATGTTTAAATAATTCCATATAAATTTTTCATTGCTTCCTTGCTTCTTTCTCCCTTTCTAGTTGCAACCTTGTAAGTTCCATTTAATTTTCAGATTGTCTTATAAGGTTCATGTTCTGGGCAATGTCCAACCATTGCTGCCATGCTCCAAGTGGCATGTTTTCCATCTTGCTCTTTGCTTTGTTTTTGCTAGATTCGTTGCTAGAAGGGAAGCCCGAATACCCAATATCACCACTGGTTGATGTTTCTAGATTTGATGAAGATGAGTAGTTGCCAGCTTTATTGATACGTGATCTCTTTGAGTCACTTCCTTGAGTGGATGTCTTTTTCTTGCATTTTTGAACAATATCTTCACTTGGCTTCCACGCATCATGTTGTATCAGGATGTCCAAAACGTGCTTGTCTTGCAAAATTTTAGACATCAATGATGTCTTTGTTTTGTCAGCAACTCATAACATCTTCATCATTTTGACCACTTTCCCTTCTCGATTCAGCATGAGTATGTGAACCACAAAATTTAGAACATGAAGCATCGATCCTTCTCCAACGGTTTCTAAGTTGCTCCGTGCCCCTCATTTTCAACAAATCTTCTCGTGTAACCCTGTCAGTACCTTCTTCGAAGCACCTTTGTTTGTTTAGTCTAACATTATTATACAATTCCTCAAGTTTCCTCTAAAAAAATCTCCCTTTTGGTTAGTGTTAGTTTTTTTTTTTTTTTTTTTTTTTCCGAATTTTTCACCATATATCCCTAAGTAATATTTTATTCACCATATACCCACAAAATTTTTCAAATTCACCAAATACCCACCAGTTACCGCATATTAGCATTAAATGCCCTTTTGACTAACTAATGTTAACTGCTCGTTAGTGTATGTTTATAATTCACCATATACCCAAAATTTAAGAAGTTAATTCACCATATACCCTATAAAAAAAATTATTTTTTCTTAAAAAAAAAAACTAGCCGTTGGCATGTTAAACGACTATAACGACTAGTTTACCATCTATTTAACAACAGCTTGCATACTCCATACTCCTTACTCCATTACATCATGTCTTCACAAACCTCTTCCTCCTCTTATGAATCAACATACATTAGAGTTTCAAACAAATCATGTTCATGCGGACGGAAATAAGCAATAAGGAGTTCTAACATAACCCAAAAAATCCACATAGGTTGTACTACAAGTGTGATTCTTGTGATAACTTTAAATTAAATGGTGTAGAGGTGTTGCTAAGCATAATCTAGACAATTATGAATATTAAAGCAAGGAAGACAATCAAAATGCAGGGGATGTTAAACTGAAGCATGAATTGAAGGTTCTCAAGAGGAAAATGAAGCAGCAACAAAGATTAGTGAATGTAGCAATAAAAATAGGGGTTATAATGTATGCAATAATAGTTTTTGTAACATTCAAGTGATTTATGAAAATAAAATAGTAGTTGCCAGATGAACTAGTGCTTTTAAATTCATGCAAATCTGTTATTGTCCAAAAAAATTAGCAAATTCTTTACAAAAATCGTGGCATTCGTGGAATAACCTAGTGTCAAAAATATTAGGTACTAAGATAATGATTTTGCAATTTCATTAAAAAAACCATGGCATTCGTAGAATAACATACAAATTTGGACCCTACACTTACACTAAGCAGCTTGGTTCTTTTTAGTTTTTCTTTGCTTTGGATTAGGTTGCTGAGATGTGCTTGTACCATCATTTGCTGCCCTTTTTTGCCTCCCCTTTCATGTTCCTTGTTCAGCAGCAGTACTTCCAGCTTGGCTTTTGTATTTGCAAGTTAAAGCATTATGATCCAACTCCTTGCAAATACCACACTTGTTGTTCTTATGCCTTTTGCCTTTTCTTGCTTTATTTGGGGCCCTTCTTCTCTACTTTTCTAGTCTACCTGCACTTCTCTTCACTGTTGGTGGCTTGATTTGAGGAACATTAAACTCTAGCCAATGTGATTGGGTCAACCATAGGATGGACATGATTGGCATAAGTGGCTTTATAAGCACCCCCTTGAAGAGAGCTGAAACAAAGTTGCTAGGTTCCATTCTCTTGTGGTACATGACCCTAAGACCATGCTTACAAGGAATACTAGACCCTTGTCATTTTCCACAACCACAAGTCATGGTTGTAAGTCTGATAGGAAATTTAACATGTCCATCTCTAACCTCAAACTCACCACCCCCATACGAAGTGACATGGAAAAATCTATAGTCACTACTCCTAGTTTGCAAAATCTGTTGTGCATGCTCTGTCAATATATTTGGATCCATGTCAATGGCCTTGTCAAATCTTGCTCCCACCCTTTTCATGATCCAATTTTTCACAGCTAATGAGTTAAACCAACAACAGTAGTGATGTAATCAGTAACCATGCATAGAGAAAATGAAAATGAGCAGGGAATTGTGACCGTACCTATTAATAATGCCAGGACAAGCATATCTCTATGGGGTTTTGTGTAGGAATTAAATGAATCAACAAGATTTGTTGTGTTGTGATCACAACAAACATTGCTGTCAAAGCCTTTCCTTAACCACTGCTCCTCCACATTCCTTAGATATTGCTTAAAAGCTACATCATACTCTTTAATTTTGGACATAGCTTTCTTAAAAACATACTCATTGTATGCATTTGCAGCAATCCAAAATAAATTATGAAACATTGCATTACTCCACCTTGCATTTTTGCAATTAGAATAGAGATGTTGGCAGCAAACCCTTCTTGTTGCTTCGAGGAAAACTTCATATAGTGCAGATTTAACACCCTTGAATAAAAATAAAAAAAAAATCAACAAAACTTAGAATACAGTGTAAAATAATTTTAGTGTAAAAATCAAAAATTTTCTTCCGTATTACTTCGTGACTTCGTCACTCACACGGTTTTTGCTAAAAGTTTGCCTCTGCCTTTTAATCAGACTTCAGGTACTCCGTATCCTTTAGCACATTATATAAATAGTAATAATTTTTTTGTCAATTATCAGAAATTAATTTTAGTTGTTGTTCAAAGAAAAGATCCAAAATCTTTCAAGGAAACTATGAAATATGATGGGTGGCGCAAGTCCATGAAAGAAGAAATTCGAGCTTTGGAAGACAATGACACATGGACCTTAGAGCATCTTCCGCCAGGAAAAAGAGCCCTCGGTAGTCAATGGGTCTACAAGACAAAGTTTTTGTCTAATTGAGACGTTGAGCGTCTCAAATCTCGCTTAGTAGTGTTTGGAAATCATCAGAAAGCAGGCGTTGATTATGATGAAACATTCGCTCTTGTTGCAAAAATGACAACGGTGCAGACTTTTCTTGCTATTGCGGCTTCGAAAAATTAGGAGCTTCATCAAATGGATGTTCATAATGCATTTTTACATGGTGATCTTGATGAGGAGGTCTACATGAAGTTGCCTCCTGGGTTTGAAAGTTCCGACCCTTCATTGGTTTGCAGGTTGCATAAATCACTGTATGGTTTGAAACAAGCCCCCAGATGTTGGTTTGCAAAGCTCGTATTGGCTTTAAAATAATATTGTTTTCTGTAATCTTATTCTAATTACTCCCTATTTACATAAACTAAAGGCAATGTTCAAATAAATGTCTTAGTTTATGTTGATGATCTAATTGTTTCTGGGAATGATTCCGCTGAGCTTACTATTTTTAAAGCCTATCTCAGTGATTGTTTCAAGATGAAGGATCTCGGCCCCTTGAAATATTTTTTAAGCATCGAAGTTGCTCGTAGCACTGCAGGTTTATTTCTTTATCAACGGAAATATACGTTAGGCATCATTTCTGAAGCAGGGTTGTTAGGCGCAAAGCCAAGTGGGTTTCCGATAGAGAAAAACCATAAACTTGGCCTTGCCAATGGTGATCTTCTTTCGGATCCAAAGTCGTATCACAGACTTTAGGGACATTTAATCTATTTAGCGGTAACTCGTCCTGATTTGGCCTATTCAGTTCATATTTTGTCTCAGTTTATGCACGAGCCCCGAAGTGAGCATTGGAATGCGACTTTGCGAGTGGTTCGGTATTTGAAAGGTACTCCAAGTTAGGGAATTTTGTTGAGTGCAGACTGTGACTTGACTCTGCAGTGTTGATGTGACTCCGATTGGGCAGCTTGTCCTCTCACTCGTCGATCTTTGTCCGGTTGGCTCGTATTTTTGGGTAAGTCTCCTATCTCGTGGAAAATGAAGAAGCAACATACAATGTCAAAGTCTTCGGCAGAGGCCGAATACAGGTCCATGGTTGCGATCACTTGTGAACTAAAGTGGCTTAAAGCTTTGTTGTTAAGTTTGTGTGTGCAACATCCAAAGGCAATCAAGTTGTTTTGTGATAGTGAGTCCGCATTACACATTGCAAGGAATCATGTTTTTCATGAACAAACAAAGCACATTAAGGTTGATTGTCACTTTGTTCGTGAAACGATTAATGAAGGCTTAATTTCTCCTTCCCATGTTTCGACTTCGTCTCAGCTTGCAGATATTTTTACAATAGCTCTCGAAAAATTGCAGTTTGATTATTTGCTTTCCAAGTTGGGCATTTTTTCACCCCATGCTCCAACTTGAAGGGGTGGGGTGGGGGGGTTTGAGATATATCATATCATATATTTTTGGGGATTATATTATAGAATATTTGGTTAGGAGATATTAACTTATAGAATATTTGGTTAGGAGATTTTATCTTGTATTTTAGTCAATTCCTATATTCCTAGTATATTGTTAATTCTAGGGTAAGGAATATTGTAACTTATATATTCTCCATCAAGTTAATGAGAAAGGTAAGTCGTGATCATAACAATTCTTCAAATACATTGTAAATATGTTGCTTAACCTCATTATGTCAGAAATGAAGGTCCAATCATCTTTATGGCATCCTTTGGTGGCAAATAAACACCTTAGATTTATGAAAAAATAGGTCCAGCTCTCTATGCTCTCTTTGTCTACTATAGCATAAGCAATGACAAAAAATTTATTATTTCCATCAAAACCAACATCATTTAACATGATCCCTTTGTAGTAGCCACTCAAGTGTGCACCATCTATCCCAATTATTGGCCTACAACCACCTAAAAACCCCTTCATAGTAGCATCTAAAGAGAAAAGACATGCTTTGAATTGATGCTCTTGGGTGCCACTATCTCCAGAACATGTAATCAGTGCATAAGACCTTGGATTAGTGGACTTAATCATCTCAGCAAATCTTGGCAGCAATGCATATGACTCAGCAAAGCCACCATGAATTCGTTCTCTTGCCACAACTTTAACCTTATAAAAAAGTCTCTGCTTCACATTTAGTCTAAACCTTTCCATACATAGCTTCTGCAATGATTCAACTAGGATATCAGGATTTGCTTCCAGATCTTACAGAAGATGTCCGCACAACCAGGCAGAGGACACCATTGGATTTTCTTCTAACCTTCCATAAGTGGTATGCTTGTAGCCCAACTCACATTATCACTTAACACTGCATCATGTATTCTCCAATTACAAGCTTCACATTCAGGATAAACCTTTCCATACATAGCTTTCACAATGATTCAACTGGGATATCAGGATTTGCTTCCAGATCTTGCAAAAGATGTCCGCACAACCAGGTAGAGGACACCATTGGATTTTCTTCTAACCTTCCATAAGTTGTATGTTTATAGCCCAACTCACATTATCACTTAACACTGCATCATGTATTCTCCAATTACAAGCTTCAACAACACAACTTATTCTGTATCTGCAGTTGTCAGCCCTATCAACAATCATTGTAAAGCCCTCTTGTATGCAATAATCTCTAAAACCCTCTAAAAACTAAGTCTTGTTCTAAAAAATCAACCAATTCTCTAGGACAATAGACCCAAATGGTAAATTGCTCTAAATTTTACCATTGCTGTACAATTTATCCAACTTATGACTCCCATCCAAATAGTCTTCAAACCCTTTTTCTTTCAACTCATCAAAATCAACAAGCACATTATCATCTTCAACTACAATGAACTTGTTGAGGTAAATATTTCTCTTTACCAACAAGTTAAATACTCTATCTTGTTCTGGAGTATTAGGGGTTGGCCCTCGAGTTACCGGTTTCAAAGATTGATAACCTTGCTAACATAAAACAAACAAATAAGGAATCTTTCCCAAAAGAAGTAAAACAAGTTAGGTTGCTCAAAGAAACGAGTAGATAAACAAATGACAAAAGATACAAATGCACTCCATTAGTGAAGGGATAGAGTCAGGTGTACAATTGTACAAGTAGAAGGAGAGGTTATCTCCATGGTCATACAATTGGAAATAAATGACGAATGATCTTCAATACATGCTAGATGATAATCTTTACAATCGCTTAGCCACTAAGCTAAGGAAAACTACAAAAGCTAAGAAGAAAGCTTAAAAGAAATGAAATGCTTGTTGTTGAGTTATTTGTTGATGTCTTGTTTCAGTCCTTGCACTTCTATTTATAGGCAAAATGGAGCAATTATGGCTGACTCCCATAACCGTTGTACGATTATGCTTCTTGGCGCCAACTCTATTTTGAAAATTAAAATCATCCATTAGCCTTCTAATCCGATCAATATAAAATTGGGCCTTAGTATGATATCAGCCCAATAGCTGTTATGTTTTAATCAAACTACCCCAAAGACCCTTCACTAGCTCTAGGACTTTCCCACTTAGTCAGAGACAAGAAAGTCAACTAAAAGTCAAAAATCTGATTTTTGGGTGTAACAAATGCCCCCTAATTTGGGTGGTTGATGGCATTTGAAACCATCCAAATTATGACTCTTTAAACATAAATACAAAACATTGTGTATGTCTAAATCTGCAAATAACAAACACAGAATATAAACATTACTTAATATTTATAAAAGTAGAATAATTACAAAATTAGAGCATTTTAAAACTTATAAGTTTTGAATTGTGTATGCTCTTTAAAACAGGACTTAAGGCTAAATATATACAGTGATATACTTATTGAGATGCCTTCTAGTATCCTAGATCATCCTAGAGCGTCGCTACACGATTCTGCAATTCGAGATCGTCGAGATAACCCTTAAATTCATCATCGCTAGGCTCTGTAAAGAGCCAGTTGATCCTGTGGTGCTAAAAGATTGATTCATACCATAATTGACAGGCACACTTATACACCAAGGTGTGCATTTCCCCTTCTGTACCCCTGGTAACTTCCACTTTGTAGTACATCTTGGGGTAAGGGATAGTCCTTGCTTCCAATTTCCTATCAAAAGTGGGAGGAAAGATCGCTCTAGCCCATCCCTTGCAAACCAAGGCGGCGTTCACCCTGTCTTCTTTCTCCTCTAGGTGAGCAAGTATGAAATTGCTCAAAAGATCAGCATTTGCACCCACATGAAAAGCGCTAGGTCCATCTTCATCCTCCAAAATGGTTGGTCTATCCCCCATCGCTTCCTGATCCTCTTGTTAAGGCGATTTTTCTTTCTAATCTTGTAATTTCTCTTCCATTTGGAGTCCCTATTCATAGCCAAATGATGATTCAGACACTCATTTAGGTATTCAATAGATCTGTGGAGTGTATTGTCAACATAAAACATGCCAACTCTGTAAACTTCCCCATTAGGCCCAATGTGCAACATTTGAATGGGATGCAAAAGATCTTCCATGGTAAATTCAAAATTCGATTTTAGGAGAGTGGTTGAAAAGCTCTGACAGATTGAATTTTTAGTAAGAGAAACAAAACTGACTTAGTGAAGAAGAAAGATTTTGAGTGAAGTGATCAACTACTCATATTTATAATCATTTTTGTGTCACTCCCTTGACGGTTAAAATCCTCTGTTACTTCAAGTCATCATGGGGAAACCACGTAACTCTTTAACTTCTTGAAAGTAGTTTATCCAAAAATCACATCAAGGGGAGTGAATTTGGAACTAAACCGTCACGAATTTTGCATAGTAAATCCCACTTTCAAGTTAATAATTTTACTAATCATTTAATTTTTTTATTGGAAATTAGAAGTGTCTATTCACTTAAATGTCAATAAATACGGTTGTCTGTCACTTGGTAAAATTTTAGAAAATTAAAAATATATATGCGTGGGTATAATCTCAATAATCCAATTGTATCGCTTGATCAAAAGAACAAAATATTTATAATTTATATATTATATAATTTGAACAAGCCCAAGATCATACATAAACAGAAGATAAAACCTTCAAAGAGCCAAGACATGATAAAAAAAAACATGCTCAAATACTTAGTTTCAAAAGAACTAAGAACATGCTACAAATCATGTTTGAGTACTTAACTCCTTGGCCAAAAGTTAGTTCAATTGGACAACTAGAGATTAAACCAAGCAAACCCTAGCCTTTGATCAATCTGAAGTGTGATTGGGGCTTCTAGGACACTTATGTGATGGTTCATGCATATCGAAGGACAAATCGGAGTTGTCTCCTTGTTCAATTATCATCATCCTTCCCAAGCTTCTTGGTGGAGACTTCTTAGCCCTTCTTTGTCGTTTCTTCCTTGAAGGAACACCTTCAGCCTTTCTACGCTTGTGGCTTTTCTTCCTCCTCATTGGCTCATTTCCTAATGCTAGATCAGGGTTAAAGCCAAAATGTGCATTACCAAACACAGCTTGGCGATGAAACTTAGCATCTTCCGCCTTTTTGGCATCCTTATCCATAGCATCCCACTTTTCCAAAGCTAACACCTTTACTCTTGGCTATCCTCATTCGAGGAAAACTTCTCTTTCTCAAGGAATTCCATTGATAGTTCATCTATATCTAGATCAACTTTTACTGTCTTTCCCTTGGGATAAGACTCGGCTGTGTTAGAGGTTGGACTCTCCATAAATCAGGTGAAAGAAGGATTTTTTGGAAGATTTTGAAGTAAATTTTCAGACAAAAGATATTTGTGAAGAGAGAAGATACACCTTGCGTGCTTTAAGTAAAAGTAATTTAATGATCTCAACCTATATTTATAAGTTGACATAAATGCTCTGACCACTTTTAAATCATATAATTTTTGAAAATTACCTATCAATTACCCTATAAAAACTATCAACAGTGTTATCTGATAAGCTTTGTTGAAGGGTAATTTAGTAATTCCTTACTTTCATCGCTGGATTCCAATTAATAAATTCAGCCCTAAAATGCTACGTTTAAGGTTATGTAATTCAATTTTAATTAGAAATCGATTTCTTTGAAAACAAACTCTGCCAAACCATTTAAATCGTTTGTGTCTAAACGAAATCAAACGGTACAATTTAACTAACTCTCCAACGCTTGGAAAAAACCATAAAAACCTTCGAGGTGTCCTTCACCTAATCTCATCACTAATTCACTCTCTGATCTTCAAACTTCTAAACTTCTATTCTTCGAACTTTGTGAAGTACAAAATGACTTCTCTTCCTTTGCAAGAAGTGCTCAAATCATTTCTGGTAAAAGATTATTCAATTGAGGCTCATGAATTGTGCGAATTAATAAGCAAATACCCTCAGAACTTCAGATCCGACTTCCTATGGCATATCTCATCTTTGACCACCGAAGAAGGTATTTTGAAAGGCACTGCCTCTATAAGGCCAGCGTTTCATTTTGACCTTTCATGTTCAGATGCTCTACAAGATTTTCGAAAGGAAATTCAGCCCAAATTAACCAAGTGTATTCTTAGTAAAGGTGCGCCTCGCCCTGCTGCGTTCAATGAATTGCATCTAAACGACAATTGGGTTTTAAGCCATAATCCAATTAAAGGTAGGGTAAACGACCTAATAGCCAGGGGTTGGTTTATGAGACTTTCCAAGTTCCACTCCTCATGGGAGAAGAAGAGAATTTTTGGCTTCCTCAGACTAGCGACATATGACAAAATTTCATTCAACGGATCGCTGACATGTGCCCTTATATTGCTCTGGGACCCCGTGTTAAATTGTTTCATCCTACGCCAAGGTTGCATAACTATCATCCTTGCTGATATGGCTTTCCTTACTGGTAAATCACCTTATGATGATAAAGTTCGGCAAATCAGAGTGTTCAGCCTAATTGAAGGCACTGGACCCTTATACAACAGAAGTCATAACCTTCTGAAGCAAATGCTGGCGACGTCCAAAAGCTGCAAAATTGGCTTTAATACCTATATTTCATACTTTGCATTGTCATCATATTCTGCCGAAATATCGCAGGAGGAAGAGATACTTTTAATGTTATTCGCTCTTACTCGTTTGATGATGTGCAAGTCAGGTGGCATCTCTGCACTGTTATTGCCACATGCAGTGAACAATTCCTATATCAAGTCTTTTGTAGAACTAGGTCCAATCTTACTAGGACAATTATACAGATGTCTGTTTAGATGTAGGGAATCTCTTAACGGAGGTCAGAGCTTAGAGAATATAGGTGGACCTCTATGGTTGGTCACCTGTTGGGGTCATTTCTACACTACTTTGTGTATGGAGAAGACTGAGGAAGAGGTAAAGAATGAGATGGAAACTGAAAAAGCTTTGTATGTGTCAAAACTTGATTGTAAGGAGAAAACTTTAAAAGTGGACTGTTGTTCATATGCAGAAATATGCTTCAACTATTTTGACCACCAAAAAGTTCCTAAACCTAATCTCGTTATGCATTGTCTGTTGGAGTTAGACCCTTTTCCTGTTAGTTGGTACATTATGAGGCGGAAGGACAATTTGGATCCTAACAGTATATGGGTTTTTGATGCAACTCCAAAGTGGCTAAAAATTAAACAGTAGGCATGAGGGAAACTTTTGAGAATGAATCCTCATTCTGGTTTTCTGTGTTAGCTTCCAGAGATTT